CTTCTTTCCTTCTTTCCTTCTTTCCTTCTTTCCTTCTTTCCTTCTTTCCTTCTTTCCTTCCTTCCTTCCTTCCTTCCTTCCTTCCTTCCTTCTTTCCTTCTTTCCTTCTTTCCTTCCTTTATTCCTCCTTCTTTCCTCTCTAAACAATACTAACTGTATCTTCTAAATCTAGATCTGGAAATTTATAAAGTCCATGGCAACTTGTCCATAAAAATTTTTAAAAATTTTTAATAATAGATTCCAAAAATTTTAGTATTTCAAGACTAAAATTCCTTCATAATTTTAGTCTCTCATGTCTCTCATCAAATAGTTCTCCATCTATTTGATGGTTTTACTCTCCTGTTTTAGGCTTCTGTCACCTGGCTTGGTGTTAATTAAGAGAACATGTGCAGGATATTTCTTTGAGATTCAGTTTTCTCATCACCAAAACTCTGGTGAGAATGATCCTTCTTAGCTATAAAAATGTGTCACAATATACACAACAATATCATTTTTATACAAATATAGGGGTCTATAAGTTTAAAATATTAAAAACATTTTAAATTCAAATTTTACATATATCAAAGTTTTATATATTAGCTGTATTATATTTCCGAATAACTTAACATGTAACTAAGAGTTGATTGTTATTTCTAATTTTTAAAAAAATGTTAGGGTGTCAAGAGACAAACTAGATATAGGTTGATATAAAATGGGCTTCGCCCCAACATAAGTTGAGTGTTATAGTCACAGCAGATCATAGGAGTGTCTCTCATTTTTTGCTTCACCTTTTCAACTTACTCTAAAATGTTCTACAGAGTACAGCCCAGTCTTCTGTGTGCTAGAATTAACAAATCTTTTATCCTTCCATATGTTCGTCCTTGGTTACTGCTAATGATAGGGTACAGGCTCTGTTTTTAACATGATGCTTTATTAGCTACAACTAAATCAAAGAATGTAGTTTTCACACTGCCTTTTTCAGTATTAAAGTATATGAGGCTTGTAATTACCTGTTTTTACAAGAACTGAGTAACAGCAGGAACAAGATGGCACACTGAACATGGATAATAAGAGGACTATCCACAAAAGCGTGGAGAGAGTATAGAGAAAGCAACAAAGAATAGCTCAGTACCCAGGGCTCATAACAGCAAGGTGCAGTTACTCTCAGGAAATATGAAATATGAAACTTTGAACTTAACAGAAGAAACTATGAGACCATGTTTATGCAAATTTACAACTGAGAAAACCTTTTAAAGTATGACACCAACCCCAGAAGCCATAAAAAAATTAATTTGTATCAAAAGTAAACATCTATGTGGCAAAAACCACTTAAGCAAAGTCAAGAAGACAAACTAGAAAAAAATATTTGAAATTTATGTTATAGAAATAAAGTTTCTGCAGAAATCAATGTATGAAGACTAAACCCAGTAGAATATCATAAAAAACATAAATTATAGATAATATAAAAAACTTTCTATAATTTTCCTTACAGAAAAGGAAATACCAATAGCTCTTAAACATCTGAAAAGCTGTTCAATCTCAGAAATGCAAATTCAAATCACATGGAGAAACTTTTTCACCTACCTATGATATTGATCAAGACAGATAGGCAGGCAAAAAGACAAATGTCTATGTATTTTAACAGACATCTA